TGGATCCCACACTGATGTTGTTCAAAAAACCTTTGAAAACCTTACCTCAGACCTTGGATTAAGAGGGCTGCCAAAACCCCATAGAATTTTATTTGTTGGGAAAAATATTTTTTGCCAGATGCAAGTTGATTGTGTTTCTTACTGATTTACTATTTTATTACCTTTTAATGTAGTAAGCCTCTTACACTCCCCTGAAGTTCGACAGCCTTTAAATCCAATCCAGTCCAATCCATCTATCAGAAATCTATCCTTGTTTAACAAATCATCCATGACTTAACATTAAGAGAAATGCAAGCTTGGCTGTGATATAAGTCATGGATGGCATTATAGTCCAAAAATGGCTCCAATGTTAAATTCTGTGTTAAGATTTATTTTTTTAAACATGGGATTATTTTAGACATCAAGGCACATTACCCACAGCTTAATTTGCCATTCGTCAACCAAATAAATTGTATGGATTTTCCAAGGAGAAGCAAATATAAAGTTAGGTGGTATACTCTGTAGAAATATACGGTTTAGTGACATTTAATAGAAGGATGGCAGGTTACAAAAGGAATTCAACTTTTGGAATCGCTGGGTCTTACCACGTTGACATAAGCCTGCCTGCTCTGTTGTTAAGTCAGCACCAGAGAAGGATGTCATTTTGATTTTTTTTCCCCACTTTGAACACACACACCCTGAATTCTCCAGCCTTTTGCTATTGCCTTGTAATGGTTCAGAGATTTGCAATGATATGTCAAGGGGCAAGAAAGTATGCTGTATGAATATTGATTGTACGTTTGACACCCACCTGAAGGGCAAGATCTTTCCAACTGAAAAGGATGGGGGAATGAAAGAACCAAATACTGACTTTCTCGGCTTCTTCAACTCTGTTGCCCATACTAAATTCCTTGCATGTATTTTATTTATTTAAATATATATATAATATATATTTAAATAATATATATATATTATAAAATATATTATATATATATATATATATATATATATATATATATATATATATATATATATATATATATATATATATATATATATTATATATATTTGAATAAGTGTGAACAACAGCACCCTCTTCTGCTTGGAGCCCACTCCGTATGGTATCTAACGACACTAAATTGCTGTATTTGCAACAAACCTTTGGCAAGCAATTTGTGAGGGCCAAATGATATTGAACGGATGCAGATTTTAAAACCTTAAAGGAAATCGTACTCTATTTCCTTTAAACCTCCTAACTAATGGATTTGATTTTAAGCACGAGAGGATGAAGGTTATAGAGCTCCACCTCAATTGGCTGTTTTCCCTCCTGCAGTGAGTCTTCGGCTTTTGTCTACAAACTGTTTTTATCCTTGCAGGACTCATTTCTACTGCTGAAACTTGAGGAGGGGGGGGGGAGAGAGAGAGAAATAACCTCAGCAACCTGGGGAGGGAGGGGGGGAAGCAATAAAAGGGAGGGGGTGCTGGAGCAATTCTTCTCTGCTTTAACCCCTCTCACGGCTTCTCTCTTAAATCTATCACTGCTTGACTAAGGATGCAGATCTAGTGCTATTACTATTTATATTATATTTTACCTTTGCTCTTGGAAATCAAGATGGCATAAATGGTTGGGTCACCCCTAATTTTATCCCTACATACAAGAACAACCCGGCACAGTAGGTTAGGCTGAGTGATTTATTTATTTGCAGAGTGGTTGGTTAGATTGGTAACTAGTCTTTCCTTCAGCAGCTCCAGGTGGTGTACTGTGAATCTTCCCCCCCCCCCATTTCTTTCTATAGCTCTGCGAAGCGGCTTGGGCTGAGAGAGAGTGGCTGACCCAATATCGCCCAGGGAGTTCCTGTGGCTGACAATGGACTAGAAACTGAGTCTCTTCAGGACCAGTTCATCATGTTACCCATTATATCATCCTAGCTTCCTTCTGCATAATGCTGCCATGCTAAAGCTGACACCGTCTAGATTAATGGGACTAGAGTACCTCCCATCCAGAGCGCAGAACAGATGCTTTTTGGTCCACTTGGGAGGATGCTAGGTTGGTAAGGATGATGTAAATCCTAAAATAAAGATCTCCGTATTTGTTCCTTCTTTCCCAAATGTGCACACACACACTAACAAACATACACACCGGCAGTCCCTAGTCAGATAACCAAATTGGGGAAGGTTGTAATTGGGGAAAATTAAACGAGAAAACATTAAATGGCAGGAAGATTATAATGGCTATAATTTCTGGTCTTTGGGGTTCTTTCACCCTTTTTGTGACTAGGGCAGATGAGGCTCCCTCTTTCTCCTGACTGGCGTGATGCAGTGATGCTCTCTGGAGAAGGTGCCATGAAATGGCACCTTGAATCAACACGTCCTGCCTCAGAGGTTTGAAGTGTCTCAACAATAGCTGTGAGTTTGGGGAGCCGTACATGCAGCCAGTGAGTGAGCCGTGGGGAAGGAATTCCATGACAAACCATTCTGCATTTCATAACCCCATTACTTCTTTGCACAAGCTGCTCTTTCTCTGCTCTTCATCAGCTCCGGCCTGTCACAATGAATCAAAGAATCAATTTACCTCTCCACTCACTCCATGCCTGGAATCATTTATGAGATGTTGTGGGGGAACCCCGGGGCAAGCATTGCAGTAACAAATGTTTCCCCTTTCTCTTTGCTTACCCTCTCTAATCCCTGCTTTATTTCGGACCCATTCCCAGGGCTGGCATCAGTTGGGGCTGATGGGAAGGGGATGTGGGGAAAAGGAAGAATCCTGCTCACATACACCTTCCCTAACCTTATCTGAGGGTTAGGGGGGGGGTTGTTTTCAACTGAAAAATGTAATAGAAATTAACTGACAAATTGAAAACCAATACAGCAGCCCTAATAATGACAGTAATACATTGGAAAATTCCCAATAAAGAATATTAATATATAAAGCAACTTCAGCCCTGTTATATGTTATTAAATGCTAGGTCACATGGAACGATAGTGTTTTGTCTTGCCATTTTTACAGTATATGGATATTTGCAAGGTTAACAGAGAATAGATCTCTTGAACTCGCTCTTTAACATCTAAAGGTTTGCTTTCTTTCCAGCTATGAAAGATAATCCTCTTAGTAGATACAAGGACTCTCTTGAGCCAATGTTCTTCAGGAAATGTCAAATCCAATATTTTTGGACTCTAAAAAATATGGGCAGTCTGGTCCAGCATGTCTGGAGAACTCAGGTGGTGGGTGAAGGGCACACTCGGTGAATTTGTCTAACTTCCAAACAAACCACAGCATGCTTATGAAGCAACCAAGCAAACTCTTCCCAGATGTATTCACGTTACTTGGTTTGGAGGCAGGTTCTTGCAGGTGACTGGGCTGTTATGAAATTGTCTTCCCTTTGGAGGAGGAGGGAAGGTTAAACAGAGAGAACAATGGCAGACATGCAGAAAATGACCCTGCTGGGTTTTCCCTGCCTGTCTTCACACTAGTTATCAGACCGTCCTTTCTGCCTTATAGCCTACACTTGCAGTCCATAGTGCCCTTTGCTGGGGGTCAAGGATGCTAGTATTTCATACTACCTGATTGATGCTTATGTATTTCTTGGTTAGATTTTTATTTCATCTTTTGTTCAGAAGTGCAAGGAAGGTTGCACATATCCCCCTCTTGTGTGTGTGCGTGGGAAGTGTCTTTGGTATCTTTTGTTCTGTTGCCATTGATAGCCCATTTCTGGTTTAGAAATTAAGTCCCTAAAGAAAAGTACTTGGGTGGAATGTGGGGAAGAGGCAGAGCAACACAGAGAACTGGTTAACAAAGGGACAAATGGACTTTTTAAATTAAAAAGTTTTAATTTTGTACGCCGCCCTGAGTCCCTAGGGACTGGGCGGCATATAAATTTTATTAATATTAATATATTAAATAACCAAAAAGTGAGCTTTAAACAAATTCACACATCTTCTCCCTTTTGCTGGCCCCGAAAACCTCTAGCCCTGCCTCCCTGACAGATGGAGGTTTTGGCAAGCAATCTGGGGCTCCCAGTATCCCTCAGACCCATTTTTCCGTGCATAGTTCCTTTCTTTGCAGTTACCCCATCTTCCTGAAATATAATCTGGGAGTTGGTGCTCCCCATTTTCATGATTTGATTGGCAGTTCCGCCATTCAATCACAGGCATATATAACACTTGTCTCTCTCATTTTCGCCCAACAATAGCCCTATGAGGTAGGCTGGGCTTAGAAATTAAAGGCCTCAGTACTAGACTGGATGGTTATCGTGCAATGCCCTGTCTTTTGTTTCGTTTTGTTATAGTGTTGTAATCCTAGTGTTAGAAATTCTGAGCTTAAATGCAGGACATATCCAACAGTATACAGGTAGTCCTCGACTTATCACCACAACTGAGCCCAAAATTTCTGTCGATAAGTGAGACAGCTGCCAACTGAATTTTGCCCCATTTTACGACCTTTCTTGCCACAGTTGTTAAGTGAATCTGGCTTCCCTGTTGACTTTGCTTGTCAGTTCACAAAAAGTGATCACGTGATGCTAGGACAGGGCAACCATCGTAAATATGAGCCAGTTGCCAAATATCTAAATTTTGATCACGTGACCATGGGGATGCTACAACGGTTGTATGAAAAACGGTCGCTTTTTTCAGTGGTGTTGTAACTTTGAACAGTCATTAAATGAACTCTTGTTAACTCGAAGACTACCTGTACTGATTGCTATAGAAAACAGGACATTAAAACAGCCCTTACCCAGCAGGAAGCATCAACGGGAGTGGGTATAAATAGATAATTAATGAATGGAGCCAGAAAACAGCCCCGTCTATCAGCTTCCCCAACTTCGTTTTACCTGCCTTTCTATGGCTAACACTCCGTCTTATGCCTTTTTGCCATTTTCACCTGTCGGCTGTGGCAGCTAATAATTTTGATATTGGGCACACGGATAGAGTGAAAACCTGAGCGGATAATTTATATTCATTCCCTAAACTATGAGAAAAGCATCAGGCCCTGGCAAAGAGGTGCCACGAATTGACCTAACGTCTGAAGGCGGATGGCGAGGCCAAAGTAGGGTGCAGGAGGACCGGATGCTAAAAGGCAGCACCAGCATGCGCAGGGCCAGGGACGGGACGGGTGCTGCCGGCCAGACGGGAGCAGACTAGACGGATAGAGTTTGCAGGCCGGCCGTTATAGTCGTCGAGAGACGGACAAAGGACGGAGAGAAAACCGTGGACGTGAGCGAGAGCAGCAGCGCCGAGAGCGCACCCGGAAAGGCCAATTCGCGGAGGAACCGACGGCGGGACGTCGCAGGCTCGTCGCGCCAACAACGGCCGGGCTCCCAAACCCTCCCCGAAGTCATCCATATTTATAAACGCCGCGTCCATCGCCCCCCCCTTCACTCCGCCCTCTCCCCTCCTCCTCCTTTTGGCAAACGGAGAGAAGGAGCGAAGCAGACCAGACGGCGGACGCGGGTGCATTTTTTTCGCCACAGCGACAGGCGTCCCCCTCGCCTCCGGGGGATCCTGCGTCGACCGCCCGCGGAGGGGGCGGGGAGTGAAACATCGCCTGCCGTCCTCCCCCCATTTTCTGCTCGGTCTAAACCTGCCGCTATGCCGCCCGGGGGGTGAATGGGGGGCAAGCACTGGACAGCACCTCCACCTCCCTGCCCAGGGCTATGCCAGGGTGGGGGGGCCGGGAGGGCGAGCGACTCGCCCCCCCACCTGTAGGATCTCCATGAGCTGAGCCCCTCCGTTCCTAAATTGTGGCCCCTTCGGTCCGCCCCCCTCGAGCGGCATCACCATGGGATGTAACATGTGTGTGGTAGAGAAACCCGAAGAACAATATCGGGTGATGCTGCAGGTAAGAGAGGGAGGGAGGGAGGGCAGGGATGGGGGCGGCATTGGTTTTTGGGATGCGACTGATGGGACGAGGTGAGCGAAGCACTGAGGGAATTGGGGAGAGGTTAGGGGCAGGGGATGGTACGTTCGCGCAAGATGAAAAGAGGGCAGAACAGGGTCGTCTGGGGAGAAGGAAGGTACTGGGAAGCGTCAAGGGAGTTTCCAGTCGTTCCCACTGGAAGAGCTGTTTGGGTCTTGGGGGGGTGAACAAAGTGGAGGGATGGAAGATGGAGGTGTCTGAGGGAAAGCAAGGTGATCTAGAGGGATTAAAGATGTTTGTTGGGGGGGTGGGGGAGGACATCAAAATAGGAATCCCAGGTTGTCTTTTGGGGTGGAGTGGGGATTTGGAGTACCATTCGGAGAATAGGGGGTGGTGGTAATGCTGCAATGGGGGAGGGACCAGGTACTGAGTGAGGGGAGGTTGCTTAGCAACTAATCTCCCCCTTTTTCCCATAGCGTACAGTGTCTGAAATAATGGGAAGAGGGTTTCTGCAAAAAAAAAAAAAAAAGGCGGGGGGGGGAGAAAAAATTAGGATGAATGGCACTGAGCAGCGAAGGGTGAAGCAATGGTTTGAGAAAGGAGTGACAGGTATTCATTCAGTGATTCATTCATTCATTCATACACTTGCTTCCATCTCTTCCTCCCAGTCATTTCTTTCAGTCCCTCAGTTTCCTGAGTGATTTTCCTGGTCTGGTATCTGTTTCTTTACTCCTCCCTTCCCTCCTCTTTTTGTCTTTTTCTCTCTCCCATCATTCTAGTTTTCAATCTCTCTCCCTCTCTCTCTCTCTCTTCTCCCTCCCTCCCCCCCTCTCTTGCTTTCCTTTGTATGTGCCATTTATCCAGGTCTTTTTCCATCACACTCTCTCATCCCAGGTCATAGGTACAAAATCAAACAGTCTCCTAGTCTGCATCACACAAATGGAAGCTATGTTGTAATTGATAAAGCAGAGGTGTTTTTAAAAAATAACCAAATGTTATACATTTCAAAGGCTGAATTTTCCAATATTTTCTCACAAGGCTGCATGGTTAATTTATACCTGCCTATGTGCGAAACTGAAATATATAGCATTATATATTTCTGTCGGTGAAGTAATTACACAGCTGGGTTTTTTTGCAATTGTCAGTATATATGTTACAGGGCTTGTGTTTGTATTTGTGTAAATAATCTTGCTTACCCCATAAGGGACCATCTATTCTTTTGTCTTACTGTCTTACTGTCATTTAAATACTGTCATTATTTAAATGCTGTTAATTTAGAGATTTACAGCATGAAAGTAGCGAATAAGCTCATTTATACAACTGAGAAGCAAATCCAAATATATTTGCATAATATTGGTCTCTGTATAGCCTTTGGATAGATAAGTGTTCATAAGATCATCTTTCATCAGCCTTCCTCAACTCAGCATAGGTTGAATGTCAGCCCCCATAATTCCCAATCAGCAAAACATTGGGCAAGCCCCATCTGGGGAGGTAGGGTGTCCTTTTGAAATTTCATTCCAGTTGCTAATCATGGGAATCAGATTTTCATACAACAGAATGGATTTGACTGATGTCCTCAGTATGATAAATTATCTTTTTTTTCTACAAAGGAAGGCCAAAAGAATCTGTGCATTAGATTAGAACAGCTTGATCGGCTAATGATTAGACTCAGATCTGCACCTCGTTCCTCTCTTCATCTCTTTGTAATAAAATTGCCCCTCACTGTGGGAAATAAATGGGATGAAAAGAGAATCTCTAGCTCATAGCATTCTATGGGCTGAGCCACCAAGAGATCTAGGTATACTCTCGGTATTTCCCTTCTGTCCAGAAGCCCTGCTTTATAGCTCAGGATTTCAACAGGTGACAGCAAGAGGAGGAAAGCTAAGCTTCTTCCTCTTATGTTGTGCATGGTCCCACTCCATATCTTGCTGACACAAAATTAAGAAGTTGGAATCCTGGTCCCTCCAGATATCTGAAAGACAACTCCTATAATTTCTGACTGTTGGTCATGGTGGATAGATTTTACGGGAGTTGTACTCACAACACCTGGAGGATACAACATTGCCTAAACCTGAAGATATATTCCAGTTGCTTTTAACCTGATAATTTTTAGGAAGGAAAGGTGGTGTATAAACTGAATGAATAGGTTATTTGAGTTTATTAATAGCTTTAAAAACAGTTTTCCCTAACCTGCTGACATTGTGATGTCTTATAACTCCTAATTTCCAATCATCATGAATGATGAAAGTTGGTCCATCTTGTATGGGGGGGGGCACAAGGTGGGAAGACATTTCATTTAATTCTCAGCATAAGTTCTAGTTTAACATTTTTACTTTCAATAGCATTTGAGTAAAACATTTTAGAATTTACAATGCCATTCTTATTATGAGATTTCACAAAGCCTGGAACAAAAATACTCTCAATGTGTCAAACAATACATTAGGAAAAATATACAGCATATACCGGTAATAAAAAGTCAGCAAATAAATCTTACTTAACTAAAGTTGAAACTTATTTGAATCCAAAGATTACTAGCATTTGCTTGTAACCAGAGTGTAGAAAATCCTGACACAAAAAATACCATATAGTCAAATGTTACTGCAAGGAATGATACATTGCTCTTTGTCTCTTGGATCTGAAATACGTAAGTAGCCAAAGAAAAGAAATAAATTTCATAAGAATTTAATCAGTCTGGAAAACAGTATTACTTTTCAGTTGAGAATTAAAATGGTCTCATCCCAAAAGTCACACCTGGCTGCATTTTTCTGATGCCCATGTCTCCACAAAGTTGCCTTTCTCTCAATTCCAGACCATGAGTAGCACAATTTTAAGTCCTTTCTAGCAGTGTTCAGACAGTGCATTCCCTCTTATGCCAAGACCATCCAATAACAGTGCAAAATGTGTAAAATCTCTTACATTTTGCTATCCATTGTTGGAGGTGAGGTCAGGTGACTAAGTAGTGCTTAGTGGCCATTTCAGGCTGATGAAGGCATCACCTCCACACACATACAGATCTTCTGGTCTGGTCCCACATCAGTCTTATCTACCACTAAAGGACTGAACACACAAGCACAGAAGAATGTAGAAGATACAACTTGGGTTGCCTTTCAGAGAAAGGAAAAGAAGAAAGGAGAACAACTAAGTAAAAGTGCTCCATGTAATGGAGTTCCCTTTGTAATTTTACCTTGGGCTGTAAGAAAACAGAGAGTAGAAGAAAAGGCACAGGGTGGAGCCTAGAGATGATGGACAGAATTCCACAATTAAACCTGCCTCCATTCCTGCTGCAGGCTGTGATTGGCAGATGCTTTTCCAGCTGGCTGGCAACTTGCAAAAAAGAGAATAACTAAACTAGAGGAATCAGTCAATCATTTTATCAGGTACTACACATGAAAAATCAAGGCAATATCATCAGTATCACAATTGTAATAGAGGCAGGATAGAGATCAGCAACAGTCAGCAAATTTTCCATCCATTGGGTGGAGAGCTCCGGAAAAAGATCCCCAGGTCTCATATGATAATATTAATATATAAAGTTTTAATGAGTACATTCCACCTATAATAGGGTACAATTTTTCCCAGATATTTTATTAATCATATCTGCATTCCAGAGATCACCATTATTAAAATACGTACAAAATGTCGCTGAAATATGTGAACTCTTACAATTTATCTACCGTTAATCCTCAAGTTACAAGGAGCTCAATTACGGTTGTAAGTCATGACAGTCATAAAGCGGGCCACCATATAACTTGACCAATTTTACAATTTTTTTGCAGTGGTTGTTAAGTGAATCCATTGTTCACTATAGGGCAGATTTTGCCGTAAGCTAGAAATAAACACCAGTTTCCAGGGAAAAACATCATACATTCCAGAGCTCTGGGGCTCTACAAATGTGTTTAAATAAGGAGAGCGGACATCAGATTTTCCTAAGTAGCTTGAGAGGGGTTTAGTCATAACTTTGAATGGTCACTAACTAACCCGTCATAAATCGAGAACTACCTGTATAGTATAATTTCAAATAGTATTTTCCAGCTTTTCCTTTCTTTATTTTTTTCAATCTGTGTGGCTAGTATCTCATCTAGAATTTTACCATCAGCCTAGCAGCCACTAAGTATAATAATCCCCAAATTCCAATCCAATCCAAGGCTATGTATTCTGTATTCAGGTCTTGCAGGTTCATCTCCCAAACTCTCTGTGCATGATGAATTCTAACAACAGGCTATGAACCTTTTATTCTGAACTTTAGGGAAAGCTATTTACAGGAAATTATTTCTGTAAACTCCTAAATTCTTTGGTTCTCAGAGTATAACAGTGACATGAATGTTGTTGTTTGGATGGGGCATGTAAAATTTCTCCTTCTGTTGAGTGACTCCCACAGGTTTTATTGTTTGATCAGTTATTGATTGATTAATGTATTGGTTGATTATGTGCTGTCAAGTTAGCTTGACTCTCAGCAACCACATAGGTAGATTTTCTCCATGATGACCTATCCTGGTCCTTCAGCTCTTTCAATGATACCCCATTGTCATGGCAACCGAGTTCATCCATTTTTCTACTGGTTGTCCTCTTCTTCTTTGTCTTCTTCTCTTACCTTCCACTTTCCTCAGCATTACAGCCTCATCCAAAGAGATAGTCTTTGCATAGTATATCTGAAGTAGAATAAATTAAGCCTGACATTAATTGCACAGAATAGCCTGGATAGAGTTTTCATATCACTTTGTATCTATTAGTAAATTGACACATGTTCAACTACAAGTTATTAAGCTATGAAATGTCAGTGAATATAGACATCTGTATATACTGGTCTTGATATTCACCTAAGTTCAAGGCAATAATGAAACAAAATTCCATGTTCTCTAAGCAGACCCATTCAAGAAACAGTTTTCTCAGTAGATCCTGCATCCGTGGCTTTGATGGTTAATGAATGTGTATCAAAATTTGTTGCTAGTTTATGACAACTAAGTAGTAGGGCCTGTCACACA